AAATCTATCATCACATGAACTGTAGACTTATTCGCTGTTTCATTAATAGTAGTTTCGTAAATACGTTTTTTGTCTTCAAAAGAAATAAGGCTAAAACGAGTATAAAAAATCTTTCAACGTTGTTTGAGTAATTATGAAAGATTAGCATCCTTTTAGTCAAAAAACCATTTTTCAAAATTGTTTTAGTAAACCTCCCTTTAATATCACTATACATTTTTATATAATTTTGTGATTCAAAATCTAGACTATGTTTTGAACTATGTCTGTGTTTTTATTTTGTTTTCTAATCAGTAAAATAGGCATCATCTATTTACTCTTCTTACTAACCATCTTCTGATTAAAAGAGGTAGTAACGATCATATGTCCTTCCAATTTAAAAGTAATCATCCATATACAGTTGAAGTCTTGTAAATGTGAAAGAATATTCAGGGTAAATAAAATTTAAAAAGGTGATAATGGATATCTACTTATCTTAACCACCAGATCATTTATCCAATTGGATTCAATGTGGTAGAGCCGCTCCGGACATATATATTTAAAGAACTGGTTACATAAAATGTTGAATGTAATCAAAATGATTTTGCAATGATTAACGTGACTGCATTCATTTCCATCCATGCAACTTTCTATCAGCTAATATTGAGACTTTGGAATGTTGTCGTTTACTAGAGTTATTTCCTCGTTACACCAGGTTGAAATAATGTTGTATATAATCTAGGTAACAATTTAAACAGACATTAAAAATTTTCTCCCTTTACGTAACAACTCATATCCTCTATTGAGTAGAATGAGGTTCTAGTAACATCTAAACTAATTGAAAGAAATTTACATTGCTTGTTGGTTGTGATGATGGCTTGGAGGGAAAAATGTGATAAAGTGACCAAAATAGTGCAACGGGGCCATGTTATTAGACGGGTCATTTCATTCAATTCGTTTCGCATATTTGAAAGATTGTACTATTCATTTAGCTTACATGCAATTGGTTTTGTTGACTTTTGGAACAGTGATTTATTTAACAGTGGTATATGTAACTCCCATTCTCCGATCACTTTGAACCCTAGGTCTCGTGCCCTAACTTGCTCAATAAATAACATATCTGCACATACTAAAAGGGAAAAAAGAGCGGTGAGCAATTCCTACAAGAAATTACTCACTGAGAATATTACCCACAGAAACTCCAATACTCGAGAACATTAAATGATCAAGCATACTAACCAAGAAACAGATCAAACATCACCCAACTTAATACTAGCAATCATGCATTCATATTCACAATTTCTACATTCTAATCTCATATTCAACTCTTAAACCATAATTCCATCTTTCACA